AATGAACTGAAATAAATAAATTCCTTTTGATACAATAATTTCATTCATCGACATTCGTACTTGGGAGTCTTGATTATATCTAGACTTAACTTTTCAAATACGTAAAAAATAAACTTTAAATATCCTGAGCAGAAATACTGTTACAATTGCTGCTGAATGTTTGTACGGCTAGTCAAAGCAGTTTTCTGGTGCCTGATGGGGAGAGTAGACGGATCTATTTGGCGAAATCCATTTCCAACTTCTGCAAGCTTTCTTCATACTTCTGCAGGCGGTTCTTCAGTTGGCGCTAGTATACCTGTTGTAGGTGCTTCTCGCCGTAACGCATTTTCAACTGTGCTGATATCTGATAAAAGTCTTGCTGTGGTTCCGGGATTGTTCGCAACACGTCCAACGCGTTCCTTCGCAATGCCAAAATGACAGCAGTCGTCCTTTCTGCGTCGTTCCATTTATTTGCTGCAGCGGCTACTTCAAACTGTCGAGCATACGTAGGTTATAATGATTTTCCATCAAGGATAGCAGGCTTAATTAACCAGCATCTTGTGTGCTAAAGAAATTTCTGCGACCCTACCGGACTCCTGGACAACGATCCGATGACCGGGTATTGGCCATTCTTCCTCACTTGCAGCATGGCGCGACTCGCTGTGTTCACTTTGGCCATCTGTAGTCAATAGCAGGAATTCCCGACGCAGTTCTTCTTAATTCTGTTCGATGTAGTCAATCTTCTCATTTATTTGAGTTTTTAGCATTTCTACCTTGTCGTCCACATCGGTAATTTGGTAATTTTATCTTTAGTTTTAGCACAGATATACGTAAAGAACGTTTACCTGAAACCGTCAAGAAAATCTAAATTTCAGGGCTATTTTGACATAAGAAAGTGGATCTTTACCTGACTAGTACTGTAATATTTTTGCCTGACTCCCATTACAGTCCTAGTACATGCAAAACAACAATTAGATCGTTCATTGAATAAGTTATTCAATCAACGATTGGATAATTATAATGCAGACAATGTGGATATTTTTATTAATATACCTACACAAAGGATAATGGTTTTTTAATCACTAACAATTAATGGAATATGTGTGGAAGTAATTATTCCTTTAGTTTTGCGCCAATCATTAAAAGGTTTCCACGCCCCTTCGTATCTTTTTCTTGACTTTGTGGGGAGCGAATATTGCACTACGGCGGCCGCAGCTTCGGCTACATTATCACAACGTCTTGCGTAGGTACTGTTCCTCACTGATACCTCATTTTGTACCTAGTAATTTTAGCATGCGTGATTAGATATCAAAATTTTCACATATGAATAATTTAATTTGGAAAAGTTATCTGCATGTTGCGGTTTCAGGTAAAATTTTATACATAATACGTCATGAAAGTGAGTCCACCTGACTTGGAGGCATTAAAGAGATACTCGGACGCTGCGCGTCCTCGTACTTTTCAATAAGCCTCCGCGTCATGTAAACGACCCCTTTCATGACTTATTATGTAAATAACTAATATCTGTGGTTTTAGCAATCCTTTCAATTTATTGTTGGCCGTTGAGTATATCCTTTTGTACTTGCTCAATGTGAGAATGAGTCTATCGCTAGCCACCTTTCACGATGAGCATGCATGTCCAGTAAATCACAACTTGTTATAGCAATGTGACAGGTGCAGGCAGGAAAGTGACAGGTACGGTCGGTAAAGTGACAGGCGGCAAGAAAAGTAGTCTGGTTTGCCTCTGTCATGGAAACTAAAATTTCCTGATATAACATAGGCACAAAAATGAAGGTTTCATGACGATTTTGGGTAATAATGACTCCTGTCATCACTGACAGATTGACGTTAATCAAAAGTTCTGTATGAAAATTAAATTTAAAGTAGGTACTCGGCCCCAAAGGAGTCTCTGGGGCCAAGTACTGCAATATTTTCTCAGTAAATAGTAATGTGTCTTTTTATTTTACTTTTAATAATAATAATAATAATAATAATGGTATATTTTGTTAGTGTACATGAGTACTTACAATTGTCAAATTAATGATAAAACCATTTTCAGATCTGATAACATGTCATGTAAATAAATATTTATGTGTCTGTAAATAACTAATCTTTAAAATAAACAGAACAAACAGAAAAAACATATAAAACAAACATCACAAAAAATTGTTTAGCCCACCCACAGCAGTTACAAATTCATCGTGACTATATACTATGTACTACAACCCCACACCTGACACCAATTATAACGAACTACTTACAAACGTTTATTTATTTAATAACTTATTTGTAATGTAACGATTAACAAAATTTATTTTACCCAAAATCGTCCTGAAACCTTCATTTTCATGCCTACTTTCTGTCAGGAAACTTTAGTTTCCATGACAGAGGCAGAGCAGACTACGTTTCCTGCCGCTTGTCACTTTACTGGTCGCACCTGTCACTTTACCGGACGCACCGTCACTTTACCGGCCGCATTTTTGACATTTCCAAATGTCTATAATGACTCATGTCATCACTGACAGATTGACATTAAACAAAAGTTCTATATGAAAATTGAAATTTTATATTAAAATACGATATCGGGTAAAATTTAATACAAAACTCGTCAGTAAAATGAGATTACCCGACTCGGAAATTAAAGTACTGGGCCCCAAGGGGGCCTCGCACTTAAAATATTTCCTCGCCAGTAATGTATCATTTTCCTGCTTTTATGTAGTAGCATTGAATAAAAATAGTGTTTTTATTCAATGGTAGTAGTTATTTACATATGAGTGTGGTAAATCAAGGATTACGTTAACGAGTGAGATGCCGAAGCGTAGCTGAGGCAGGAATTTCGAAACAAGTAACGTTAACTGATTTAACATACAAATAATGTAAAGCATTTTATTTCACACTGCTCTTTTTTTTTATTAAAATGTCATACAATTTTTGATTAGAATGTTGTATACGCATTCAAATGAAAGCAAAAGTCGGTTACTTGATTTATTTGATCTGACAGCAGTTTGACACCTTAATATACAGGCTGTTACATGACCGCATGCAAAAAAATTAGGTGATAGAGGGGATCAAGACAAACCCTTTTTCCAAATAAACCGATGATCCAACGTGTTTCGTTTGGGAGCCACCCCCAAAGAAGTGGTGAAATTTGGATTTCTTTTTCTCAGCAACCATAAGAGTTACAAAGATGGGTGGCACGTCTTTGAATAGGTTTACGGGTATGTTCTATCCCATTTTGACAAATTTTTTTCAAAATTTCTACCCCGAAAAGGCGCACCCCTACTTGGGGGTGTGAAAAAAATTTTGATTTCGACGAAATTTGGTATCTGGGGGTTTTGGACATGAAAATGACGAATCTGAAATTAGTTTTTGAAAATTCGAAAAAAAAGTTCCACTGCAATTCTTGGCCGGACAACGAAAATGGAGAGAATTCCACGAAATTTGTTGTGTATATACTTGATGAGAGGAACAAAATTGTCGAACAGTTTTTTAAAATCACTTTTCAATCAAAAGTTATACTCATTTGAAGATTGGGCCTTCGGGTTACAGAGTGTCCCCCGCCTACTAGTGAGTGATCTAATTTCACATGTAGTTAATTGAAAATGTCTCAAATAACAAAAACATAACGATTTAAGTCGATATTATGATTAAATGATCACAAAAAATTCGATATGTCGATCTTGGTATTCAAAGTCTGCAAATTCGATTCCAAAAATTCCGTGGCTGCGGGTGATGGGAAAATGCTTTTTAAGTAAAATTCTATTACAATCAATAAGCATTATTGCAAGTATCGTAATACCAACTTAAATCGTTATGTTTTTGTTATTTGCGACATTTTCAATTAACTACATGTGAAATTAGATCACTCACTAGTAGGCGGGGGACACTTTGTAACCCGAAGGCCCAATTTTCAAATGAGTATAACCTTTGATTGAAAAGTGATTATAAAAACTGTTCGACAATTTTGTTCCTTAACTCATCAAGTATGTACACAACAAATTTCGTGGAATTCTCTCCATTTCCGTTGTTCCGCCAAGAATTGAAGTGGAACTTTTTTTTTCGAATTTTCAAAACCTAATTTCGATTCGTCATTTTCATGTTCAAAAACTCCCAGATACCAAATTTCGTCGAAATCGGATTTTTTTCGCACCCCCAAGCAGGGGTGCGCCCTTCGGGGTAGAAATTTTGAAAATTTTTTTTCAAAATCGGATAGGGCATATCCGAAAACCTATTCAAAGAAGTGCCACCCATCTTTGTAACTCTTATGCTTGCCGAGAAAAAAATTAAAGAAAAAATTTAAATTTCACCACTTCTTTGGGGGTGGCTCCCAAACGAAACACGTTGGACCATCGGTTTGTTTGGAAAAAGTGTTTGTCTTGATCCCCTCTATCACTTAATTTTTTTTGCATGCGGTCATGTAACACCCTGTATAGGTTTAGATGGATGTCAGTTGATGTTGCTAGGCAACATTTCCAATCTGGTAAAAATTTTCAGTCTGGGAAAATACGATTTACCAGACTCAAATGGATTAGGGAAAGCGGCGATTACTAGATAGTATGAAATAAATAACTATAACCCTATTCCTTTTCAGAATATGATGGACTGTCCCTGTTTATATCCTTCGCCTTGGCGACCGCAATTTCGGTAACATATTGACAAAAAATCGTATCATTTTTGAAATAGATGGGAATAATCCGACACATATCGAACATGTTTATCTCCAGAACCAGAGAATTGAATTGACATTTTCAAAAAAATCTCTTTATATAGGTACGTGATATTCCGAAAAATCCAAAAACATTTCTACAAATTTAAAGAAATTGTTGATTCGATCGAACATTTTCGACATCAGAATTTGTTGAGGTACCTCCTTGGGCTCTTATGTAGCACACATTGCCTTGGTGCGGGACTTGATTGCTGTAGTTTCGACCACCAAACCACGATGCCGTAGGTGAGTAGAGGGGTGTATCATTGTTTTTTTTAGAATCATGGGAACAGTTCGTGCGGCGAAGGCTGGGCGTGCTGCCTATGATACGCCTGCACTCCACCAGATGTTGTTTACATTTTAGTGCAATCACTATTCAGGTACAAGTTAATTTGACACCTTCGTGCACGCACTGAATGTAGCTGTTGAATAGCATCAGGTTTGAGCATGTGCATCTTTTGCTAAACACCATTTCTCACTTACTTTTAGGGTTGCTTTCATGATCTTCAACAATGCATGGTGTTCTCGAGTTGACTCGGTGTCCCGACACAAAGTTTGACGTTACGGACCCGCTGGGCTTAGCTTTCAGGATGTGAAGTATACAAGCAGTAATTTAGAGAAGATGTTTCGACAATTTGACGGTAGTTTCAGAACGCAAGGTTGTTGATGCTTGAGATCCTCCTAAACACTTACCTGGGGCACGTTGAAGTGTGCTCTGCTCAAATGCTGTTGCACTGTGGAACATGGTATCCTCAAACCAAACATCTAATTGGAGTAACACGTTTCGATTAAACTGCTTCAGTGCATTTCCGTCCCGGTCAACTTTTGAAGAATATCTCCATTATGTAACAGAAGCTTTATTTTTGGTCGATGATCTATTTCAATGTTAATTGTTGAACAACAATGTCTTAAATTAACTTTACTGATAGCGTTTTTCGCTATCGCAAAGCACTTGACTGGTAAATAATTAGATCGAGTCATTGTTATTTGTTAGAGTCTCTTACACAATTATTTTTTTACTGAATGAATCTATCGCTTTTATCTTTCTATATTTACATAACGAGGCCTATTTGTTGTTATTTCTCAATTGTCATTTAGCATTCGCGCCAATTGAACGATATTGCAAATTTAGCGTTTGGCCAAGCAATAATTTTGCAAAGTGAAGTGCCAACTTCCTTAATTATAGAAATTGAGTATAAAAATTGCGCACTGAATTTATTTATGCGCTAGGCAAATTGGAACAAGTGACGTCCGGCGTCCACAAAAGTTTGCGCTACCCCATTGACAACATGCAAACAATTAGTCCTAAACCCATCCAGTTCAAAGTGTCATGTATTGGTTATCGGCATCTGATGACCGTGGCGAGATTAAACCGCTTCTTGGCGCTCTCTCATAAATCAGTTTTGGCCGAATCACTTCCCCCTGTGGAGCCGGTGTCATAAGCTTATCATTTGCGATAAACTCGTTTTGAGTTTGACTAATTGGCCATAATTCAAAACGCCTCGCCTCGGTCCATTTTTTTCAAAACGAGATTAATCGCAACGAGTAAATAAAAATCACGCGATTCTGTTGACCGGCTATTTTTTTCCTTCAAGTCATGATTCTTTTTAACATATCAATTTGCCACCAATTATCAATTGCGTTGTTTAATATTTTCAACCTTGACAATCATTTTATATCGTTATTCAGAGGTTGATGTCCGTTAATCTAAAATAATTTCTCGATTTTGTAATACAATTATATTTGTTTACAATTTTAAAATGGCACCAATATGTTGTAACACTTGTCATATCAGGAGTTTAAAAAAGGAAAGAAAATGATAGATATATTATGTTAACCCAAACAATGGCGATTAGGTAAGAAATTTTATCTACGATTGGAATGGAAATTCAACCTCATTTTTGGCAACCCCTAGTAATCTTTGTGTGTTATGTCATTACAACGACGCCAATCTTGTTCTTTGGTCTATCAGTAGCAGTACAACTCGGTTATTCCGTTGTAGTGTAATTAGCTAAGTACCATAGGGCATAGGGTTATCAAATTGTAAAGCAAAGATATATTGCAACAATAATGTTAAACTTGGTAGTTATCATTGTTTTTGTAATTATAATAATAAATATGTAATACTTATTAGATTATTAGAAATGTGTAATCGGAGCGTCCGTTGTGTTGCGACGTAACCGTGTTATTTAGGCGAGAGTCGAGAAATTGTGCGTAAATAAATAATAAACAGGGGTTGTAGCCCTTGATAACGAGGCGCTGTGGGTACATTGTACGTGTTAATCACTATGGTCGGATAGTTTTGTATAGCAATTTATCCAAAAAATGACTTAGGATGAAAACTTTGAGATTAAGTTGTAGCAAATTCGGAAAAGCGTGCCTTACTCTCGACGAATTTACCCCCAAGGGAAGGGTGGGTGAGAAAAACCTTGACATGGGAATAATTTCATGGCCGTGTTCACGGCGACTATGCTAGACAACTTCTAGACAATAAATGGACGAATTTAGTTTCAATCACAATATTGGCCATGGAATTATTGCCATAAAAAGTAAAATGAAAATTTCAAAGCAAAGATTCAAATTAATTTCTAAATAAAATACTATTTGGTATTGTCGATTTTCTATTTTTTTTTCTCTATCGAGTGACATTAAAATCCAATATGGTGTCCATAAGAAATAAGAAACCATTAGGAAGTGGATTACTAATGTACGGTCAACAGGATCTGCACTTCAAACAAACCAGCTGGGCGACCTAAAAGTGTGAGGCCTGATTTCTTTACGAGGAGATGTTCCGCGGCCCCTCGCCCCGCTGACTTGAGCCCGTGCGAATTTTTTCTTTGGTGATATCTCAAAGCTGATGATCAGAAGCTCAATTGCAGATGTCATCGTTGGAATAATGCAAGACATGATCAAAAGGGTTCATGGAATTTTTTTCGAACGACTCAATATGTGCATAGCTCGCTAAGGTCGTCAGCTGGAAGATATAATTTTCAAAACCCAATGAAAATAAAGGGAGGGTCCGTTAACTTGGCCCCCCCACTGAGAGATTTCATAGTCGTATTATTTTGAAATGAATGCGCTCGTTATGCGCTCATATGCGCCACCAATAATAACTTTTGCGCCATTCTCGTTTTTTAGAAATCCGAAAAAACATTGGGGGGGGGGGCAAGTGAACGTGTAGCCCCCCCCCCGTACGTATTTTGTCCCTTGTACTAGATCACCTGATACATTTGGTTATGCGCTCAATTGCGCCACTTGAATTAAAGCTAGCGCCATTACGGTTAAGCCGTGACAAATTTTCAAAAAGTGGGGGGGCCAACTTAACGTTTTTAAAAGTTACTTTTTTTTAACATCTTTTCATACGAAATTGTACTCTCAGGTATGCGCTGAAATGCGCCGTAAAAACATATCTTTGCGCCATTATTGTTTTTGGTTATCCTTAAATATATTTGGGAGGGGGGGGGCAAGTGAACGGAATCCCCCATAACGCATTTTGCTACCGGTATTTGTGCCACTTGATACATCTGGTTATGAGCTCAATTGCGCCACTTGAATTAAAGCTAGCGCCATTACGGTTAAGCCATAAAGATTTTTAAAAAGTGGAGGGTCTAACTTAGCGTTTTCAAAAGTTATTTCCGGAAGTGCGTCCATTTTGAAAATATTTTACATCGATTCGGCCTTCGGAGTAACTCCTAAATACAAATTTTTAAAAACCTACCTATTTTTACTTTCCCAGAATCGTTTAACTAAAGCTCCCAAAAAAACACCCTGTAGAGTGTTTCTGAAACACTATAATGGCGCCAAGATTTTTGTTTACGGCGCATTTTAGCGCATGATGAAAGGTACGATGTAGTAGAAAAAACATGTTAAAAAACGTAACTTTTGAAAACGTTAAGTTAGCCCCCCCCCCCTTTTTTAAATTTTTTTATGGCTTACCCGTAATGGCGCTAGCTTTAATTCAAGTGGCGCAATTGAGCTCATAACCAGATGTATCAAGTGGCACAAATACCGGTAGCAAAATACGTTATGGGGGATTCCGTTCACTTGGCCCCCCCCCAAATATATTTAAGGATAACCAAAAAACAATAATGGCGCAAAGATATCTTTTTACGGCGCATTTCAGCGCATACCTGAGAGTACAATTTCGTATGAAAAAATATTTAAAAAAGTAACTTTTAAAAACGTTAAGTTGGCCCCCCTGCTTTTTGAAAATTTGTCACGGCTTAACCGTAATGGCGCTAGCTTTAATTCAAGTGGCGCAATTGAGCGCATAACCAAATGTATCAGGTGACCTAGTTACAAGGAACAAAATACGTACTGGGGGGCTACGTTCACTTGGCCCCCCCCCCAAATGTTTTTTAGGATTTCTAAAAAACGATAATGGCGCAAGAGTTATTATCGGTGGCGCATATGAGCGCATAACGAGCGCATTCATTTCAAAATAATACGACTATCAAATCTCTCAGTGGGGGGGTCAAGTTAACGGACCCTAAAACTTTGCCTTCTGAACTAAAATAAATTTTTTTTGGGTGGGAAAGTGCCTATAAGGATGATCAGGATATTTAGTTTTCTTGTTGCCTTTTTTTTCCTTTTCTTCCAATTTACAAGATTTCTTATCTCCTCAATTTGTTCTTCTTCGATTATGTCTTCTTTCCTGAAACCCTTCTCAAGTTTTCTTCACTTCTTTCTCATATTTAATTTTTACTCTTCCTATCGTTATCGCGTGGTTATTTTACTTTTTTTTAGTATTTTCCTACTCCAAAATTCTGTAGTATAAATCTTGACTTCTTGATTATTTAATATTAATCTCTTCGGTCAGACTTGGTAATTATTCTGCTTCTTCAATTTCTGCTTCGTTTCCGATATATTCTTCTTGTTTTTCTGATGGGTTATAATCTTTTTCTAACTTCTGCTCTGCTGCTTCTTATCTCTCTTGAATGTCCATAATTTTCTTGTCTTGTAATTTGATCTTATCTTTTTTGATCTTTACTTTTTGTCTTCTTGTTAATTTGTTAATTCTTTGAGTAACTGTTCTTCTAATATTTCTTCTATATAATTACTGGTTTCTTCCGTTTGCTGTCCTACCCCTCCAACTTCTCGAAACCGATTGGTTCACTCTCCATGTTTTTTTTCTTGATCTTGTTCTATTTCTTCTTTAATTTGATTTAATTTATTGTTCAATTAGATTATTTAAATTTTCTTTTCCTTTGTTATCAACTTCTTTGGTTTGTTGAATTAATTTGTGGTTTTCGTTTCTGGTTTGGTTTGTAACAATTTTTTAGCGCATTTTTTAAGAATGGAACTAGTTTTATCCTTCATGGTACTCTAATGAAAGGTCTCAACGAAAGGAATTAATTTCTACCAACCATAGCTCTCCTCCTCGACCTCTTATCGTGATCGGGTATATTCCATTGGTGATGTCAAAACAAAAGCTATTTCGGTAAAAAAAATGCGCTTTATCTGCACAAGAGTTGTGCACAATTTATACTTGTTATAAAATGTATGAAATTGTTTTGCTCTTTGCTTCTTGGTATCGTCCTATAGTAGTGGAGTTCCTGGTCCCTGGCTCGGTAGGCTTCCTGATCCTGTTCAGATGATGGACTGATCCCCTCCTTGAATAGTCAAGATGTCGTGCAAATTCTCTCTCTCGCCGGTTGTAACCACCCGAAAAGGCGAAAGGCATGCGCAGTTCAAAGCCAGCTGATCAACATTAACATAAACTGTTCATGATCAGAGTAAAGTTGATAACATCATTCTTAGTCGGTGGGTATTCTAAAGCATGCTTAACTACGTTGTCAACTAACAATGTTGTTAAGGCGTGTGATTGGATGTTTTTTCAAAGAATAACATCATTCTTTGCATAAACATCCACTCACATGCCTTAACAACATTGTTAGTTGACAACATTAGTTAAGTATGCTTGATAATACCGGCTGAGTAAGTTTGATGTCATTTTAGCATAAACTTATGGTGTATGTGACTAGTTTGTTACTTGTTAGTTAGTATAAAGTAGTATTATTAATACTTATCCTGAAAGCATGCGTATAGGTTGTGGTACTAACTGTTTTAGAATTGCGGAACAATCAGATGTGGTGGAGGAAGTAAAAGCTCGTCACTTGGATATATGGTAAATTTCTTTTAATATTACTTTGTGGATGTTTGTTCAAAATTTCTGATAAAAAATTCGTTTGTTTTGCATTGTACGCGATATTTTTTAGTGAGAAATGGCAGAAACTTCGTGAACAAATAGCAAGTCGAGATAAGCGACTTCATGCCGCTGGAGAAATACATCGCTTCCACAGGGATGTTGCCGACGCTCTTTCCAGAATACACGAGAAGAATGCCGCATTAGGTACCGAACTTGGGCGCGATCTCAATTCTGCTCTGACGCTGTTACGTAAACAAGAGGCATTTGAAAATGAATTGGTAGCGCTAGAGGCACAACTTCAAGTTCTTGTTGACGATGGCGCCCGATTGCAAATATCGTATCCCAGTAACAAAACGCAGATTCAACAGCAGCAGGAAGTTGTTGTGACTGCGTGGCATGGTCTTAAAGAGCGTGCGGACTTGCGGCGCGATCAACTACAAGCTAGTGTAGATTTGCAGAAGTTCCTTTCTCAAGCTAGAGATTTGACAAGTTGGTCTTCAGGGATTCGACTGGCAATGGGTACGGATGTAAACGTGAAGGATTTGGCTAGCGCCCAAGCACTTAAAATTGAACATGAATCATTAAAAAGTGAAATTGAAGCACGTGAAGACACCTTTCAGGCTGTAGCCGATATGAGTACTGCTATGGAGCAAACAGGTAATAATGTTACGCAATAGTAAAAGTTTGTAACATTTTTTTTAGGTCACTATGCTTTCAGTGAAGCAGTTGAACGGTGCACGGCTTTATTCCAAGAACGCGAGAAGTTACACACGGCATGGCAATTAAAGAAAATCCATCTTGATCAGTTAATTGATTTACTGTTCTTCTTACGAGAAACAAAACAAATTGAAAATATATGTAACACCCAAGAAGCTGCTTTAGGTACGATTAATATTACAATTTCCATTCCTTTATCAAGGCGTTTGGATTTTAGGTAACACCGATTTTGGGGAAACTGTTGATGAGGTCGACAGTCAGTTGAAAAAGCACGACGCTTTCGAAAAACTATTCAACTCTCAAGAGGAACGTATTGATCATTTGTTAAAATCTGCAGACAAATTAATTTCTCAAAAGCACTTTGAAAGTGCCCAGATAGCCACTTCAGTTGCTGAAGTTCAACAAAAGCGTTTACATTTGCGCCATCTTTGTGTGCAAAGGCGCCATCAACTCGAGAACGCTTTGCTTTACGCGCAGTTTGTGAGAGATGTTGTGGATGCTCAAGTGTGGATAGCGGAGAAAGCGAAGAAACTGCAATCTGAGATTAAAACTGGTGAGGTTAGCAATCTGGAGGAAAAAATGAAAGAGCTTCAGAAACATCAAGCGTTTCAAGCGGAAATTGGCGCAAACGAGAGCCGAATGACGGAAATTCACGAGAAAGGCAAAATTTTAATTGCAAAATGTCACAAAGCATCCAGTGATATTAAACAACAACTTGCCAATCTTGAAAGTGCATGGAAGCTGTTGGTACACGAAGTCAATTTGCGAGGAAAGGGTTTGGAGGAGGCTCAAGACATTTTAGAATTCAATAACCAATTGGACAAATTAGATGCTTGGATCCGCGATAAAGAGGTAATGGTGCAAGCTGGCGATACTGGAAGAGATTTTGAACATTGTCAAGCACTGCAGCGGAAATTAGATGATGTCGATAGCGATATGAGGGTTGATGATGCAAGAATCAGAAACATCAACTTCTTGGCCGACAAGTTAATTCATCAGGGACACTCGGGCGTAAAACCTAGACGTGATGGTTTTATGGCTAAGTGGCAGAATTTGCAAGGCGCACTAAGCCAGTATCGTGAAAAGCTGGCGGGCGCGTTAGAAGTACACTTATTTAATAGAGACGTGGACGACACCTCGGAAAGAATTAGCGAAAAGGCACACGCAATGGATAGTGAGGATGTAGGTAAAAATTTGCATCTTGTCGAAGCTTTGCAACGCAAACTAGAAGCGTTGGAAATGGAAATGACTGCTGTTGAAAGTAAACTGAACGAACATGGTAGAGATGCATTCGAATTGAGTGACAAATACCCGCATAGCGCCAAACACATTTCAAGTAAATTAACGGCAGTACAAGACGAATGGAATAAGTTGTGTCTTTCAAAAAATAAAAGGCGTTCAAATTTGGAGAGGGCGTACACGAAGCAAAAGTTTTTGTCTGATCTTAAGGATTTGGAGTTGTGGACCGATGAAAATATCAAATCAATGGAGGACACAAATAAACCGAAAAGCATATCGGAAGCAGAAGCTCTCATAGAGCTACACAACGAAAAGAAGGCCGAGATTGATGGACGCCAGGAGGTCTTTGAGCATTTACACAATTTTGGCAAGAGTATTAAAGACGAAGATTCAGAAATAGAGGAAGCCTTGGAAAGACTGCAGAAATTAAAAAAGCTACTGACGAGCAAATGGATGAAGCACAAAGAGGATTTAACTCACGAATACCAACTGCAAGAATTCAAAGAGCAAGGTGACCAGTTGGAGTCATGGCTAGCAACGAAAGAGGCATTTTTAAACAATGACGATTTAGGTGAGAGTACAAGAGCTGTCGAAACGCTAATGAGAAAGCATCAAGATTTTGAAAAAATGTTGAATCAGCAAATGAATCGAGTTACCGATCTACAAGAAGTAGCGAAGATTATATTGTCAGACACTCGGTATGATAATCAAGAGGTTAAACATAGACTGCAGGCAATATTAGAACGACAAGATCGTTTGCTCGAGAGCTCTAAGATCCGTAAACAAAAGCTCACAGAGTCTCAAGATTTGTACGAGTTTAGGAAGAATATTTACGAGGTCGAAAATTGGTTGACTCAGAAAATACAAATCGCTGGTGATGAAAATTATCGAGATCCTAGCAATTTGCAAAGTAAAATACAAAAGCATTCCACATTTGAAGCAGAAATACTAGCAAATCAGAATCGAGTGCAAGCTGTTATTGTAGAGGGCCAAGGTCTGATCACCGCCAAACACTTCGCCGCAGAGGAAATTCAAAATCGGCTCGAAGATTTAGAAAACGATTGGAAGCATTTAAGTGAACTGTCGCAGCTTAAACGTGAACGTCTTAATGACGCATATCAAGCTTTGCTGTTCGATAGATCCTTGGATGAATTCATAACGTGGCTCGATGAAGTTGAAGGCCAGCTGAAATCCGCCGATTACGGAAGAGATCTATCTTCTGTGAATAATTTACTCAAAAGACACGCGGTGCTCGAAAACGATATTCATCAGCATTCCGAAAATTGCGAAATTATAAACGAGACGGCGGAAGACTTTTTGCGAAATAAGCATTTCAGAGGGGAAGAGCTACATGAAAATGCTCAGCAGGCGATAACCCGTTTTCACCAATTACATGGACCTTCGCAAGCTAAGAGAGATCTGTTAGAGGCGTCTTCCATGTTGCATCAATTCACCCGAGACGTGGAGGATGAACTTCTATGGCTTGCCGAAAGGGAACTGATAGCTGCTTCAACGGATTTGGGTACTTAAAAAATTATTTCTTTATTATCTGTCATTTGGCATAATTCTTTATCTCCCCCCCCCCCCCCCTCCTCTTCCAACAGTAAGTATATGTGAATACCTTTGTGTCAAAATTATTATTTGGTGAGAACTTTAAGCTTTTGATTAAATAAGTTTTATTTTTATATCCCTCTCCTTTCCTTCCCTCTTCTCTGTAATTGTAATAACAATGCAATACAACAAAACATTTTAAATAGTTTATAATTTTTACATTTTAGGGAATAGTTTAACAGCCGTACAGAGTTTGCAGAAGAAGCATCAGGTGTTGGAAACTGAATTACTGTCAAGAGAGCCTGTGGTCACTGCACTAGTTGCGCGCGGTACACATTTGTCAAGACCTGGACATGATTCGTTGGCAATCACAGAAAAAGCAAATAATTTGAAGAACAAACTGAGGCATGTGCGTGACCTTGCCAGCTTACGAAAATTAAGGTTACAAGATGCCCTAGAATCACAGATGGTGAGTTTCTATAAGTAGTACATTATTAGCGGATTTCCAATAAATTAAAAAAAATGCTAGTGTGGCCATTTTGTCCGTCCCTACGGCTGTGTCGCTACTAAATCTTTATCTTCTACTTGTGTCACTATTTGGTTCATTATGGTGTCGAGGCTTGCACCAGATAGGGGATTTTTCTGCACCACTTACGAAAAAAGTTATAACACTCCTCACACTTTTAACCTTTTGTGCTTATTGCGGTTATAAATCCTTTATGCTTGTTACAGTTTGCTACTTGATAGCGAAAACTCAAACCTCAGTTTTAGTGATCACTTTGAACCAGAAAAACCCAAATGTGTAATTTTATGTGAAGCCAAAGCAACAATATTCAAATTAATTAATATGAGAGCCAGATCTTTATTTGTTTTAAAAAGTTATTTTGATTGCATAAAAGGCACCCTTCAGAAGGATTTTGTCATTTAAAAGTAGACATAGTGAAAAACAATACAAGTAAATCCCTATGTTTACTTAATATCACTGTATATAAATAAAAATGAATGTGTGTCTGCCTATATGTGTCCTATACCTTCCTAAATAGTTCATTCGATTACATTGAAACTTTGGGGAATGGTTGGACGTATGCCCGCGAATTTTTCTATGTAAATAATTGTCTGTAGATACGGAATTTAACGTTTTCCAGTGTGAAGTTTACCAGGACAATAAAATGAACATGACTTTGACTGATAGGCGGTACAAGGTTCGCTGGATCTCACGCCGCCGGGTCTGCTATAGCGCGTTCGCACCTCCAAATTCAGTATGGTGCTTATGGACATACAGTACATGCTTGCCAAACGTGACGACAATGACAGCACAAGGAGATTATGTTTTGTTTTAATACTTCCATTTAATCATATGTCAATTTGACATCAATGCGGTTAGAAACAAGGATAGTATTATCGAAGAATGACGCAAACTAGTAAGAGAGGCAATTAGTCCATAAGACCCCATACTGAATTTGGAGGTGCGAACGCGCTATAGTTTATTATATGAGCGTGTTACAAAAAATGGATTGTGCATGCGCAGACTTTTAATTTATGGACGAATGTTTCTTTTCTTAATAGAATGTGCTTCGTATAAATCAAATTGAACTGTGTTAAAAAACTAGTTTGCGCATGCGTAGCACATAAGTCTCTTATTTGTGGACCATTTTTATTTTAAATGAAAAGGCGTATGAAAAAAATAAGATTGCGCATGCGCAGATAAAACTTTTATTTGTGGATCACTTTTTCAAAAATTGTAATTGAAGATGAATTGGAGCCACACGTCAAAAACTGGCATGTGTATGCGCAAAGTCAACTGTTTTAGTTGGAAGCAGGTTTTTCTGAAATTTTAACAGTGCTTTTCAAATAACGGTTTGTCATCCTTTTGGTTAAATGACTGAAACAAATTTGTCTGGCGTGATCTAATTTCTTGGGAAAAAAATTATTATTGTGGAAATGCGCCTTTTGTAAATCGTGTATGATTACATTTGTAACTTGCAGTGGCGGCGCGTAGTGGTCTGTCTTGGTGGTGCACAATTTAAAAATGGGGCCACGGGCAAAAAGCCGGAGGCGAAAATTTTTTGAGTGTCACTGCAACACGAAGTTTTTTGGGCCTATTAAATGGCATAAAAAAGCTTATTGATGAGACCTCTAAATACTCCAGGGTTTATTGAATTTTCTCGTTTTGTCAATGGCTGCGGAGAGCAAGTTCCAAAGCACCACAAAATTTTATACGGTCTAAAATTTTGGATAAAACATACCTGTTCTTTTTTACTTCCTCATTACGTTTTTCGATACTCAAACGGTATGCACTATTTAACTGCTGCCTTATATCTTGCTTACCTAATAAATTAAATCTCAATTTAGCAGATATATGATGTGCCTTTGAAGATTGATATTTTTTTATTTTTTCGGATAAATGCACTAAGTCTGTAACGCCATCTTTGTCCATTCTGATGCCTCATCACCGAGCTCATCACCAAACAACAAACACGGAAAACAATACAGACTATTGTTAAAGGTACAACCGCATAACCAGTCAATTTTTTCATACATGTCTATTTTAAACGATCGTCTATAATCCCGACTTCCTTTATTGATTTTCGATATTTCCAAACTCGGTTCTGGGCGACCCGCATTTTTTATTTTAATTTGATCTTCTAATTTTAGTAAATTAAATTTAATAATTTTAAATAATGAACGGTAACGTCGCAACGTTACTTGTTAAAATCGAAACGATCAACGAGCCCTACTTCGTAGTCCGGCAAATACTGGTTCACAATGAGAGTGTGCTCTTGCTATGCTTTACAACTTGGACCTTCGCGGGGCGCACGGGGAAAGGCGACGTAGCGTTTGAACGAATCAGAGATCGTAGCTAACTGTGCACTGCACGGGAAGGCGGAATGGGAATAATTCTTAATACACGTTCAGCGGTGTGTCAGTGTACCTTAAGGTTTTGCATTTCAGATAAGATAAGTGAACTATTTTTATTGCAAGAATGTTAAATGCCTACATAAATAGAATTGTTATTGTTTTCGTTTTTTTAAAATGATTTTTGGGAGTGCACGTGCTCATGTGCACTTATTGAGAAACCGCCACTGGTAACCTGTTAATCTTTTACACTCTGTTCATTGTGCCTCATTTTGCTCAGTATGATCAAAATTTTTATATTAGTAAGTACTTGAACTCTAGCCTTAGAGAGGAGGGTGGGAAGTTTATTGGTATAATCTGGAATGATGTGATTAGCTTTCTTTCCATAAGCTCTACCGGGGTCAGAAAAAACAGCATTCGTAGCACTTTAAAAAATATGGTCAAGCAGTAGGGATGGAATCAAGCTGAGCCAAACTTTTTGAATACTCGGCTTGGCGCGAAATTATGGATGTCCAACTTGACTCGAAAAAATTACCTCAGCTCAGCTCATTTTAGTTTCGAGCTGAATCGAACTAAGCTGGTATTCAAAACAATGGAATTTACAATATTGAAGAAAGTCTAAGTAATTTTTTGAGGGACCGCTGAATGTCTTGAAAAAGTTTCCAGGGCTGCTGCGATTTTTCAAAGTTTCAAAACAATCAAAAAATGTTAAAAACCTCACTTTTTTAAATTGCAATTATTTCTATTCTATTTCTGATGCTAGAAATGAATGTAGATTTAAATTTCAGGGCCACTTGTATTAACATTCTGTATGCTTATTTCTGGTAGTTTTTGAGTAACAAATTAAAAATGTAATAATAAAAATAATGATCCATAGTGAAAATTGGACGAATTAATTTCCATATTAACATAACACTGTTTGACATTTGATTCAAAGTGTAAATAAAACCAAAGATCCAAAGATTACTACACTTGATAAAAAATATGGTCTGGTAGAAGATTTTATTTTTCCGACTAGTTTAAATGGTAAAGAGAGAGAAAAAACTAACTTTGCCAATGCAACTGACGTCGGGAGAAATTTCTGTGATCAAAAATCAACAAAAAAGACAGACTTTAAGTTTTTCTAAAACAACTTGCCAATGTCAATGCTTAGGTAAAATTATGTTTTACTCAACATTGTATAGTGTAAAAGTACCTTTCAATTGATATTTTATTTGGCCCTCTGGCATCTATAGTTTAGGACAGGGGTCGTCAACCTTTATGAACCTAGGAGCTGATTATTTGGTTTAAATTTTCAAAGATCGACCGTCAATTGGAACTTTATTTTATTAACGGTTGACGGTTAACCCATATTTAATTGTATTATAATTGTATAATTATAATATAATACAATTAATAATAGGTTCATGTTCTGGTGTTTTCCAACTGTTTTTCAGTTACCTCGGTTATACTTCTCATCACATCAGGCATACAATTGAAGTTAAAATTTCGAATTACAATTACAAAAACTTACCTTAGTAAATTTCTTGTCTTCTTTCTTACACTTATTAAATTCACGATTATCTAGTCTAGATGGTGAACTTGGTTTTTTAAGGAACGAGAATTAGAAATAAAGAACTGCATGTTTGTTGATTTATTAAAATTAATGGGATACTTGACATTGCATATTTTCACTAATCTTCGCATAATTTGGCATATAATTACTAGTTGAAAGGCGCAAGCAGTCGTCGAGATGCTCGTCTGTCAGTCGCGTTCTGTACTTATTCTTGATAATATTCATGTGCGAGAAACTGGATTCACAAAGATAGGTGCTCCCAAAGCAAGAAAGAATTCGGAGATACATATCTTTTAAGCATGGATATGTTTCTGGATTTAACAGTTTCCACATGTCCGTGATTTGTTGACTCTTCATAATAATGTCGTTTTGTAAATTTATAATTTCTAATTCCAAGCTTTCTTTATTAATATTGAAAAGCGATTCAATTTTCTCAGCCACGAGTTCAATTTCTGTAGCATCAAAGGGGGAGGTCACAAAGCACATTATAGGTTCCAAGTTTTTAAATTCAGAAAATCTCTTCTGAAATTCCTCCCATATTTTTTCTAAAAGAACTGCAAATCCTTCATAATTATTTTCTTCTTCTTCACCGTTTTCTTCCGTTAAATTTGAAAAATGCTTCAAATCCCCCTTACGTAGTTGAGAAATCCATAATTTTAGTTTCATCTGAAATGAATTGATTGAAGATATCATATTGGCTATATTTTTGTTTCTTCCTTGTAATTCAAGATTCAACTCATTTAGTTTTGTTGTGATGTCCGTTAAAAATGCTAGTTTTTGAAGCCACTCCACGTTTTCAAGAAAAACGATGTTTTCATCCTTCATTTCCTTCAGAAATTCTTTAATATGGGGTACTAACTGACGAAATCTGACCAGAATTGACCCTTTACTTAACCACCTGATTTCATTATGAAGAAGCAATTCATCATAGTCAGCCTCAACTTCGTTGAGCAGGGATTTAAATAAACGGCGTCTCATTGGCCTGGCTCTAATAGAATTTATAATTTTTATCGTGGTTTTCATCACGTCATCTAAATTTAACAATTTGCCGCATAATGCTTGCTGGTGGATGATACAGTGATACGACATAAATTTTGGAAATTCTTCATCTTTTCTACAAAGTGCAAGAAATCCCTTTTCTTTCCCAACCATTGCTGGTGCACCGTCAGTCGTTATAGACACAAGTTTTTTTATGGGCAACTTTTCAGTATTTATATAATTTTTAAAAATGTTGAATATGTCTTCCCCTCTTGTTTTTTCTTTTAATGGAATAATTTTAACTAATTCTTCCGTAGCACTTGTATCGGGGAAAACTAATCGCGCAAATATACTTAACTGTGCTGTGTCACAAGCATCGGTTGACTCATCCAACTGAAAAGAAAACCATGTGCATTTTTCGAAATCGTTTTTAAGCTGATGTTGCATATCAGTTGCCATTATTCCAACTCGTTTTGTAACAGTTGTAGCGGATAACTGGACGTTTTGGATGGCCGCTACAATTTCCGATTTATTTTTGAAGTTCTCAAATAAGGAGTCGCTTGCTTCTAAGAAGGCCTGTTTGAATATTTCGCCGTCTGTGAATGGTTTTTTGTGCTGGGAAAGAAGCCGGGTTACTCGTAACGACGCCACTGTTGCAGCTACTGATTTATCGCACACTCTCTTAAAAAGGTTTTGCTGGGAATGCAACGTAGATTTTAGTTTTTTCACTTGGGCGCTTCTCAATGCAGATTTGAGCGGAAAATCTCTGACGTAACTGGAATGGCGCGTATTAAAATGTCTTTCAAGATTTCCCTTCTTTGCTAACGCACACGTTGAGTTGCAAATCAAGCACACACACTTATCACCATTCATTGTGAAGAAAAATTCTTCTTCCCAATTAACATTGAAATGATATGTTTTTTGCTTCTTTGAAGCCATTGTTAAACAACAGTACAACACAACAGCAATAGCAAAGCAACGGTTGCCGTCCACTACTAATTAATATTAATTATTAACACGAATACGAGCACGCGGTAACCACTTTTTACTTAAGCTTAAACAAACTGCAGCGACTGCAGTGCAGTTTGTCTTTATGACGATGATACCTCAGGAACACGTGGGCGCAATAGGAAGTCGGGTTTGGTTCCTCAACGCGGAGTTCGTAGAAACCATAATTTCGCGCACGCATGTGCGTGCTTGCAGTTTTTAGTTCGTACGAAAGGTATGGATGTTTTTGCGCGCATCTTTTAAAATTTTGACATTTAAATATTCCCCAAATTTTTAAGAACCTAAAAAATTATTTTCGCCGGTTTAATTTTAAGTGCTCTTAAGATCGACTAATAAATGTTGCGCGATCGACCAGTCGATCGCGATCGACCGGTTACCGACCCCTGGTTTAGGAGATACATCAATTTAAAGTTTAGTGTTTTTATCAATTTTTGAAACCATAAGAAAACAATAGGTTAGAAAGAATACAATAGCACTATATCGAAGGGAAAAAAGAGATGCGTCTATACAGGGTGTACCTAAATATGGTGTAAATACGGAAGGAACTAATTCTCTGGCTTATTTTATGACTAAAAGTCCGCAAAGGCTTCGTTACCGATTTACAGGGTGTTATAATTTTACCTTACACTTTACAATTTAAACCTTTAATTTATATGCAAACACAAGATACAATTTCATATGCGAACTGTCAAAACTAATAAAAACAAGAATTATTCAAATAAAGCCACGAGCCAATGGACCATTTGAAAAACTTTAATTTAGCTAATTACATAAAATTGATTTTAATTTTTTTTTCATTAACGGTCGCAGTTTCAAAAAAATTACAAGAGACCAAAAAGTTACTAAACAAATCAGAAAATTATTTTCTTAATAATTAATTTTTAATCAACGTTCTATACTTAATCAACAAATGAAAATTTCGCTTTGTAAACTCACTTGTCCTGTCACAGTTTGTGTATTGTGCTAATGTGTACGGTCCATGTTTGGATACTTATGATTCCAATAGAATCCAAAAAATTCATAATTCCTGTTTGAGACTAATTTATGGAATAAGAAAGCATCATCATATAAAACACAAATTAAAAGAAACCGGATGGCTAAATATGAAAAATCGTAGATATGTGCATGAGATGCTGTTATACCATAAAGTGGTAACAATAAATGAACCTGTTTATTTATATAACAAAATTCAATTTAGGAATATCCCTAGATTCGTTAACTTAATTATACCACCAATTCATAAAACTGCATTATATGAAAGATCATTTTCATACAATATTTCTAAAAAGTATAACGCTTTAAGCAATATTTTTAAAAACATACGAGTCGGGAAATTTAAAAAGACATTGTTTTTGCTAGGCAAACGTTTGAGTTGAGTTAAATTTTATAACCCATTTGACTGTAAGTTATTTATTTATTTTTTTTTTTTCATACATACAGTTTTCATACATTTTGTATTTCATAAAGTTATTTATGTATTCTTTTTCGCATTACAAAGTAATTCTTTATTTTTCTGTACAATTCCCAATTAGATTTTGAGTTCTTTCCATTATAGTAGAGTTAAGTGTAAGAGCAGAGTTGGGTTGCCGTGAGTAGCCCAACGTCTGAACTTTGCCCTGTTAAATTGTATGTGTGGCATGATTTGATGAAAGACTTTATTATTATTATTATTAAATTTTATAACTTATGTCAATTTAAAACATGTCTACCATGACCTTGGAACCGCGATCATCGTCTGCCATTATTATTGTTATATTTAATTGTATATTATGAACTAATTTAAAAGGCAGCTCTTCAAGAACCCCTATTATCCGTGCCCAACAGGACTGGACGATGGACGGACAATTGAAAAGCACAGATAGTCCACATATTCATTTTTGTAATTTTGAAAAGAAACATGCACACGTGTGGCGTAACAACTCCTCTCTAGCGCGCAACTAAATCTTTCACATTTGGCATACCCTGTGGCGATCTTCTTCGCGGCTTTATAGAGAGTTCCCGCTGAGTGATTTACAGTAACGCAATTTGTAAAAAAATTTCAAAAATGTAATTTCAATTATGGAAAATCATGGCATGGATAATCGCTGCCCGGATAACCCGCCTACGGATAATCGGGGTTCTACTGTAGTTACGAAGTTACTGAAATTTTCAGACCTGGCGCACTTGGGTAACTCTAGAGCCCCCTTCGTCGGGCTTAGTGAGACCGCATCTCTTGGCATAAAAGAAAGTCACTGAACCAAATGTCAGATTTTATAATTCACATGCAATTGTCTGCCTCTGGCTCTTAGAGTACTAGGTTCGCCATTTTGAAACTGTGAGGTGTTCAGACTGCTCCCATGTCAAAAGTGTAAGCTCAGCTGATATCTCCTAAATACACGATCTTACAGACAATTAAACATGCGGGTGGGCTTGAAAAGAGCTTCATTTTTATTAAAAGTCTTCCTAAAACTGAGTTGTGGATGCTTCTTTCTTATTGTGGTTAAACTTGGGAAGAATATGGTTTTTGTGCAGTTGAGACAAGGTCGTGTTTTAACTGGGAGACTGCTGTCATGCTGTAAAATAGTTTTGTCAATTTATAAACAGTCAATATTTTCATTTCTTGTTCTTTAACCAATTTTGCATAGTCCAATTCTATAGATTTTGTAATACTCTCCTCTTTTAAATCCATTTGAACCGTGATTAGGAACAAAGAAAAAATCTTTATCATACATATAAGTACAGTTTGTATGCAGAGTTGGACTGGGTCAAGCATAGAGTTGACCCAGTGACCCGGTGACCCAGTTAGTTTACTGACCCAGTGACCCGGTGACCCAGTTGACCCGGTGACCAGTTGACCCGGTGACCCAGTTTGACCCGGTGACCCAGCTTGACCCGGTGACCCAGTTTGACCCAGTGACCCAGCTTGACCCGGTGACCCAGCTTGACCCAGTTTGACCCGGTGACCCAGCTTGACCCAGTTTGACCCAGTGACCCAGCTTGGCCCGGTGACCCAGCTTGACCCAGTTTGACCCGGTGACCCAGCTTGACCCGGTGACCCAGCTTGACCCAGTGACCCATCTGACCCAGCTTTACTCAGTGACCCGTCCTGATCCGGTAGCCCAGTAATTAAATTATTGTTAGGTATCATCCAAAACAATTTCAAGTAACTTTTAATTTAAAAAAAAACTTCCTCAATAATATTCGCCAACAAGCACGTAGCCCAATTTCATTCAAGAGAACTAATACCTAAAAAAATCAAATGCATTTGTTTATAGTTTGTAGTTAAGTAGTCAATGAAAGTATTTAGAGAAAAGATTTATTTGGATTAAGCTAACTAGTAGAAAAAAATTAAATGTGAATGAACACCTGTAAGCAAACTGGAAAGCCCTGAAGCAAAGAAATAACTTATTCTAATACAATTCGGGACATGGAAAGTTTTTTAAGGCAGTATTAAAGCAAACATCACAGAAATGGCAGTTGTCAAGCAATCGAGTATTACTTTCAACAAACCAGCATTTCATTTATTGCATAATCTGTACACTTGAACCGAGGGCACTGACTTAACTGCGTTATTCAATCAAACTAGGTGACTGGGTCGAATTGGGTCCCCGGGTGAAATTGCGTCGCTGGGTCAAACTGGGTCACTGGGTCAAGTCACTGGGTCAAACTGGGTCAAAACTGGGTCACTGGGTCAACTGGGTCACTGGGTCTAACTGAAAAGAGTATGACGTGACCAGCGACCAGTTTAATTTAGTGACCCAGGTGACCCAGTTGACCCAGTGACCCAGTCCAACTCTGTTTGTATGAATCAATGTTAAAGGACGCAATTTCCAACGTCACCATCTTCATTATCTATTAACACATATGTAAACTGCTTTGTGTTGTTTTAGTTCTACACTGAAGCTGCAGAGGCTGAAGCATGGCTAAACGAAAGAATGCCAACTTTAGCATCAAGCGATATTGGTAAAGATGAAGATTCTGCTCAAATGTTACTAAGAAAACTGGAAGCTTTGAAGTGTGAAATTGAATCTTTTCAAACTACTATTGATCGCTTGGAAAATCTGTCGAAAAATATATCTGAGAGGCAACATTTTGATAGTGACAATGTGCTAAAGAAAAAGGTAGGAGTTATATTGCTTATTGGTTTAATTGTGATTTAAACTTGTTTTAGGAACAAATAGAAAACAAATTTAAAGAATTACAACAGTTATTACAAGACCGTGAAAGATCCCTTTCAGAAGCTCTGACATACTTCAGTTTTGTAAGAGAATGTAGTGAAATGCAAGAATGGATGAACGACCAACAAGCGAAGGCAGCTTCAGAAGATTACGGAACAGATGTGGAACATGTCGAGTTACTCATACAAGCATTTGATACATTTTTAGCTAGTTTAAATAACAGCGAATTACGAGTACAAAATTGTATTGATAACGGAAACAAACTGATAGCCGCCGAAAATAAGCACAAAAGAAAAATTGAACAAAAAGTAACGGAAGTCAAAGATCAATGGGAAGACCTAATAGAACTGGCTCAAGCGAGACACGAAGCTCTCGCTGGTGCTAAACAAGTTCACATTTTCGACCGGACTGCAGACGAGACTATTGCCTGGATTATTGAAAAAGAGGCAAATTTGGTAATCGATACTTACGGGCAGGACTTGGAAAGCATACAGGCTTTAGTTCGTAAACACACAGGTTTCGAAACCGAACTGGTTGCCGTCAAGGAGCAAGTGAAAGCCATTGAACAAGAGGCACATCGTCTTAGTGAACTATTTCCAGATGCTGAAGAGCACATTGAAGTTAAACGAGAAGATACCTTAAACGCGTGGGAGGAGTTGCAAACCAAAGCCGAGCATCGAAGGGAGAATCTTCAGCAGTCTGAACAACTTCAGACATACTTCGATCAATATCAAGATTTGATGTGAGTATATAAGTGTATAGTCATCATCAGTTCCTGGCATCACAGGTCCTAGTCACGAACTTATAAATTAAGATGGACTGCTGATCAAACAGTTGCATAGAGGTAGAAATGGCCCTAGCATGGGCTTCGCCATGATGTGCACATTCTAGTTATTTTCTAGGGGAATTTTCCTAGTGCTCAAGTTTTGAGACTATTGCAGCTTTGGAAAATGACATGTGTCACAGTAATTTATTTAGAAAATGTGAGGTTAATGTTGGGGTAATGCTTGTTTATTAGTTGATCTGAATTTCGCGCCATGTGAGTGCACATCATGGCGGCCCCCATGTAGGTGTCATTTGTTAATTCAGCATTAGCAGTCCATCTTAATTTATAAGTTCGTGGTCCTAGTGCTCTTCCTCCACTCCACAGGTCCTTCCATCACGTTTCTTGGAAAACAGTTTTTTCTCAACACACAAAAGATTTTTCTTTTGTGAATTGGTGTCCATGATTTTATTTCTAGTACTTCCTCTTTCCTCATCCTGCCTTTCAAAACCTTTATTCATATCCACATTTCCAAAACTTCTATTCATTTTTCGTCCTCCATCATTCTGTCCATGCTTCACAACTATAGAGCATTACGGTCCAGACAAACCATTTTGCTAGTTCATTTCCTCGCCTTTTACATCCACTGTTTGCTGAATTTTTGCCCACAATATAGCTGGGGCATATGTGACCATGGGTCTGATGATAGTTTCGTACGGCCATTTAGTCATTAGGTGTTACGCCCCAGTTCCTGCCCAGTAGCCATCTACAGGCCTGGGATCCCAGGGTCGCCTTTTTTATCACCTTACCCATTTGGGAGTTCCACGTTAACTTCTGGTCAAAGTTCACTCCTAGGTATTTGACCTCTTTACAAAGATTGATGTTCGTGCCCCCCCTCCCCCCCCCCATACTAGGTGCCCTTATGTTGCGCTTCTTCCTTCTGGTAAAAGGTACCACCACACTTTTGAGCAGATTATCTGTAGACCACCTTTTGTGTGATGTTCAGATGTTTACTAGAGATTACTATATGGCCAGATCGTCTGCATACCTTTGCATATAATAACCTTTTTGTGTTAGTTGGTCATCACTGTGACTGACTCCACACCTAGCCTTGCCATTATCTTCCTGCTCTTCAACATGGATTTTATCCAGTCTATTCTTGTGGAGATTGGGCTTTTATTTCCAGCGGCCACTTTGATGCTTCATGCAAGGTGTTATCGAAAGCATCCTCTACATCCGCAAACCTGGTTAGAGCCACCTCTTTTGACATGAGCACCTTTTCAAGTTTGCATATTAAACTATGTAGGGCCGTGATTGTTGATTTTCCTTTTTGATGGGCGTGTTGTTGAGGGTGAAGCGGATGTTTTGTTAGAACTTCGTTTCTCAGGAAGCTTCAACGAGAAGGAGATGAGACTGTTAGATATGCCTTAGGCAAGTGGATTGAGCGTCCTGACCCTTTTGGTATGAACACCACATTTACCTCCTGCCCCGTTACCAGAAGCTGGCTCTGTAGTACATATAATTTGCAATATGTGCCCAACAACCTCCGCTAGGTGTCTTAAAGAGTTTGAAGGCCATTAGGGCCCATTCTACCTTCTCCTGTATGATGATTTTTGAGGCTTCGCTTTTAATCCTAATTTACAGGTCTGGGGTGGATCGCACCCCACAGCCACTTTCAATGTCCATAAGTTTTTTTTCTTTCAATATTTTGGCCTGGGAGCTCGAGTACCTTCCAAGTTTAGTCTTTTCTATCTGGGGTTCGTTCCACCCCACGCCCGTAAACTTGAAAGTTTTAGTGGCCAGTAAACTAGGGTTAATTTGGGTGGGTAGAATCCAAATCAATTCGTACTTTTTCGATCAGACTTCTCAATCAAAAGTTATAGACTAGAAACCAATTTCGAAAAAAAATTCAAAGGGCTCTAACTTTTGAACTAGTAGCCCAATCTTGGAACTGTTTGAAATTATGGATTCTACAGGCCACATTCTATAAGAAAATTTTTTTTCCGGGTCGATCTGAGACAATTTTTTTTTCGGGGCTCAAAAAAAGGCAGTGTATAACCTTCCTTTTTTACCAAAAATCGACTACACCAAAATTTCTCGGGAAAACACTTTTTCTTATTAATTTTGGTGCGTAGAATCCAAAACAATTCGTACTTTTTCGATCAGACTTCTCAATCAAAAGTTATAGACTAGAAACCAATTTCGAAAGAAAATTCAAAGGGCTGTAACTTTTGAACTAGTAGCCCAATCTTGGAACTGTTTGAAATTATGGATTGTACAGGCCACATTCTATAAGAAAATTTTTTGTCCGGGTCGATCTGAGACAATTTTTTTTTCAGGGCTCAAAAAAAGGCAATAACCTTCCTTTTTTACCAAAAATCGACTACAACAAAATTTCGCGGGAAAACACTTTTTCTTATTAATTTTGGTGCGTAGAATCCAAATCAATTCGTACTTTTTCGATCAGACTTCTCAATCAAAAGTTATAGACTAGAAACCAATTTCGAAAAAAAATTCAAAGGGCTGTAACTTTTGAACTAGTAGCCCAATCTTGGAACTGTTTGAAATTATGGATTGTACAGGCCACATTCTATAAGAAAAATTTTTTGTCCGGGTCGATCTGAGACAATTTTTTTTTCAGGGCTCAAAAAAAGGCAGTGTATAACCTTCCTTTTTTACCAAAAATCGACTACACCAAAATTTCTCGGGAAAACACTTTCTTATTAAATTTGGTGCGTAGAATCCAAAACAATTCGTACTTTTTCGATCAGACTTCTCAATCAAAAGTTATAGACTAGAAACCAATTTCGAAAGAAAATTCAAAGGGCTGTAACTTTTGAACTAGTGGCCCAATCTTGGAACTGTTTGAAATTATGGATTCTACAGGCCACATTCTATAAGAAAATTTTTTTCCGGGTCGATCTGAGACAATTTTTTTCGGGGCTCAAAAAAAGGCAGTGTATAACCTTCCTTTTTTACCAAAAATCGACTGCACCAAAATTTCTCGGGAAAACACTTTTTCCTATTAATTTTGGTGCGTAGAATCCAAAACAATTCGTACTTTTTTGATCAGACTTCTCAATCAAAAGTTATAGACTAGAAACCAATTTCGAAAAAAAATTCAAAGGGCTCTAACTTTTGAACTAGTAGCCCAATCTTGGAACTGTTTGAAATTATGGATTCTACAGGCCACATTCTATAAGAAAATTTTTTTCCGGGTCGATCTGAGACAATTTTTTTTTCGGGGCTCAAAAAAAGGCAGTGTATAACCTTCCTTTTTTACCAAAAATCGACTACACCAAAATTTCTCGGGAAAACACTTTTTCTTATTAATTTGGGTGCGTAGAATCCAAATCAATTCGTACTTTTTCGATCAGACTTCTCAATCAAAAGTTATAGACTAGAAACCAATTTCGAAAAAAAATTCAAAGGGCTGTAACTTTTGAACTAGTAGCCCAATCTTGGAACTGTTTGAAATTATGGATTCTACAGGCCACATTCTATAAGAAAATTTTTTGTCCGGGTCGATCTGAGACAATTTTTTTGCGGGCCTCAAAAAAAGGCAGTGTATAACCTTCCTTTTTT